ATCGAATTTATGTAATTAGTCACATGTACTGAAAAATACTTTTGTGAAATAATGTGAAATTGACCTTGAGAACAATAATCTTTTCAGTGTAACTGTGTAGTGGAAATGTAAAAGAAGTTTAACATTATTCTCATCAGCCTTTGTATTAATTTTGTCATTGCTCCCAAATATAATGATATAATTCTTGAAGTATTAAAGAATACAATCATATGGTAGTATATAAAAGACACGCTGAAAATTGCAGAACATGAATTTATGAATTGATGAAAATATTAGAAGCTTATATTTTATTTATGTTATACTTAGTCATTTTCTACAGTTATACATTTCATAGAATGTCTAATTACAGCAAGTAATTATGTGATTTTAATTTTTTTAATTCAAGTATAGCTTAACAGAGAAGAACATTGAAACACAATGACAACATAGACATATATAGAAAACAAATTAGCTGTATGTTAATTGATACTATTATTTCATTTGCACTAAGAAACACAATTTTATCACACATGCAATATTCCTTGTTTTAATATGACTTCGTTTATTATCATCTGTCATGATGTGTATTTTTTGCTACTTGAAAAAAATGTAGTAATAATGTTCCTCTATATTTAATGTATTGAAAGATAGATAAACTTTTAAGAAAAACTTGCACATTCTTTTTATGTCAGTATAGATCATTATTATTTCTATGATTATTATATAAAATTTTACAAAATTGTCAGTTCATTTGCCAATAAAGCATTATATTCCACAAATTATGATTTTTGAAACAAGATATCTTGTAAAATGAAAGACAAAAATTTGGTAATATATCAATTATATTGTATTAAAATCATAGACATATTCACAAAGAAGCCGTATATCAAGCTATTTGGAAATGACAATGGAAGTACAGTCATGATTTTTATTAACTTCAGGAGGCCCTCAGGTCATTTGAATTGTAATTATGTGCATAAAAATTAATTTTACTTCAAACCATTTAATGCTTTATGTGCTATATTACATATGGTACTTAATGCCATTTACAAAACAGGTTTAGTTACAGTTCACTAATATAATGACATAGAGTCATACTCTTAAGTTACACCATATAGTATTACTTGGTTATGATTAATAACGTACATCCTGAAAGTATTCATGAAATAAGATCATAGAAAGGCATACTCTGTGAATTTTATGGACAAACTTGTGTTTCATAAATAGTTTGGCTTTAAGAATTGTATTTATGATTAATATCCCAAATCCTCAAAGTATTGATAGAATAAAACCATAGAAGGTCATACTCAGTGAATTTTGTGTACAAACTTGATTATACATTTTGTTAAAGGCACATTATAAAATACCTTTATTTATTTTTTATGATAAGTGTTATTATTGAAGCTCAGCTAAATCCTGATGATACTCTGTATAATCACAAGATACTGGCAACAATTATTTTAATTTTACCTTTGTTAATGTCATTTCTGTTTCACAAGCCCTATTGTTGATAGACTGTTACTTTAAAACTTACAGGTAGAAATTATAAAACCTTTACATGCAATGCATGATTTTTTTTTTATTCTATCAACTTTTCTCTTTCCAAATACATCAACATTTTCTTGGTATTGCAACCATAAAACAAGTTCTGGATTTTGTTCATACCCAAATATGTGGATAGTATTATTGCACAGTATTTATGTCCATAATTTTCTTAACAGGTGCTGTATTTGTTAGTAGGTGTGCCAGTTGTTGCTTTGGTGGTTAGTGCTATTCTTCTGAGACACAGTCTTGACCTTCAAGGGGCACATATTGGCTTAGAATATCTATTTCTGCCATCTTGGTATGTTCTTGGAAATCAAAATGTAAGTTTGTGCTGTAACTTAACAATACTGTTTAAACTAATAAAAGGAAACTGTCTGAGGTTTTTCAATGGAGCATGAAACAAACATTTTATAACATGACATTTGTAATGGAATCAAGCTCTAAATGCTTATATGTTTTCTGATATATGTGAACAAGTAAATAAAAAAAGGTATCAACTCATATTTATGAATAAAACAGAAAACTACATTTTTAAGCATCAAAATGTTTATATTTCAGCTTTGACTAATTAGATGGCATAATTTAACATGTGCATTGTAACAGTTACATAAAATCAACTCATATGATTGGGAACTCGAAAAATAATCATTGAAGTCACTTTAATAAGTTTATCTTAAAATTAAGTGATTTTTAAAATATACTCAAAGATATGCAAGATTACTGATAACGAATACTGAAAATTCCGTTTTGACTTCTTTTGATCTGCTTAATTAGATAGTCATTTTTGTTGGTGTAGGTATTAACATTTAAACTTTTTGTCTTAAAATGCTCTTGACGTTTTTTTTTTCATTGTGTTGAAATGAATTTGTGCAATTTTTTAAAGTATCATTTATTAAAGAAGGCCACAATTAGTTGTATGAAATTGTTTTAGTTTATTATTACCTTTCCTACTAGTTATTAAGCTTGTTGATTAATAGAATCTTGTGATTAATTTTAAAATAGTGATGTGCATACACCACAGATTGATTAATATTTATTCCAGTTAGAAGACATGAACATTAATTCTTTCTAGCTAATTAAGCATATCATATAATATAGAAAGTACTTTTTCTTATTTATATAGAAAAGAAAGCTAAAATTAATCACTCCTAAATTTCTCAACTTCAAAAAATAAACAATCAGTGAAAGTCCCCCCAGTTCATTGATTTTCACAAATCTGGTGAATATGGATGTGTTGGCATCAATTGTACATTAACCATATGTGCATGGAATCAAAGTGAGAATGCCATGACCTTTTACAGAGTGCCATTCAATGTGGTATTAAGTATTTGATGTCAGAGTTATGAACCATTCATTTGACTCTACATTGGTGATTTATTGATATTTCATGGTAGAGAAGATTAAGATATAATATACAGGGATACTGAAAAAGCTGTAGATGTGCATTTCAGAGGTTCTAAAGATCATGCAAGTTGTATGATGGGCAAGTATTTTTGTTCTTCATGTGAACATCATCTTGCTTTCCGACTTGTCAGACTAACATCATTAATTCACAGATATTTTTAGTACAATAAATACTTCTAAAACATACTTACCCTCCACTGCAACTTTAGCTATTCCTCAACATTGGCTTTGCCTATCTAAGCAGAGGTCTCGCATGCTCCAGTCTTTTATACCCCACTTAAATGCCCTAGGCAATATCTAATTTGCAAATTCCTACACATGTGTCAATGCACCCTCTATTATAATAGACTTAGACCTTAGTTTCAGGGCCACTCCATTTGGGCCAACCAATGCCAATGGCATTGGTATCAACCTAGATGGGGTCCCTCAGAGTTAGGTTACAACTATTGATGAACACATGGCATTCCTTCACTGCAGATCCATGGGCACTTCAAGTTCTGGTATTGAAGTTAGTCTTTCTATTCCATTATCCTCCCACTTTGTGGTATTTACACCTCCACCTGAGCAGCGAGGTGAGGATTTTGGCTTCACAGCTATCAGAGTTACTGATCATGGATGTGGTAGTGACAGTTGATCCCGTTCTTCTAGGATTTTATTCATCTTTATTTGTTGTGCCTAAGACGACAGGAGATTCGCGGATGATCATCCTTCTTTCTCATCTCAACCCATTTTTTGTTTCTCCCCAGTGCACAATGGAGTCCTTTCTCACTCTGCATTGGCATTCTTCACCAGCATCGATGCCCGAGTTTATGGTTGCTGAGGCATTTCTCTACATTCTCATAGTGAATGAATCTAGCCTTTAGCTATGTTTTGTATACAGGGATCAGGCTCTGCAGTTCAGGATCTAGTCATTTGTCTAGCATCAGCATCATATTTCTTCTGCTGGGTTTTACAAGTTTTCACCATGTTTTACGCCCGGCTCACTCGTTTCCCATCCAGCTCCAGGCTATGGAATGGACAGTCAGGCTCTTACTTACAGGGAAGATTCTATCTCATGGGTTGTGGGCTTCCCTCAAATCTTGTGCATTTTTTGGGAGGAGGAGGACACATGTTATCCCTTCAGTGGTTCTATTGCAACAAATGGGAGTCTCTTTCTTTGGGAGCAACATCTTAGTTCTTGAGTGGTGGTTGGTTTGGATCACCTCTATCATTGGTGTGTGTGTGTGTGTGTGTGTGTGTATATATATATATATATGTATATGTGTGTGTATATATTATATTTATATATGTGTTGGTGTATATAAGAAGATTGATTAAGTATTTTATTTCTTGTTTTTCATGTTTATTCTTTATGTATAATTATAAAAGTAACTAAAATGTAGAAATAGGATTCTTTTAGGTTTGTTAAGATTAGATTAGGTAAAATAAATAACAATAATATCATAATAAAAATGCTTCATGAGGCACACACATGAGCAGCTTGTGGGTAATGTAATTCATTAGCGTAACGTGAGCTGCACATTCCCCGAATGATTTACAAATTATAATGGCACGGATAGTAGTTAGACACAGTTCAAAGGGCAATAAATAAATAAAATTTAATTATAAATAGATGTATACTGTTAGAACTTAGAGCTACTTAGGATAAACGAATGTAGTTTTTTATGTTACAATTTGAGGTCATTCTAGAAAGAAAAATGGTTAATTTAAATTGATTTTGATTTTTTTTTTTAGGTGGTTATGAGGTCGGTCAAATTGATCAACCTTGTATAGAGTTAGGGTAGAGAAAATAACAGAGAAAAGTGCCAAATCTTGTGAAGATATACATACTATATTAAAAGTCAGTAATATCAAAATTATCAAGAGTTTAAATAAGTACAAAGAGGTCACTTGATTAGTTTAATTGACAGAGCCCATGTTGAGAGAATTAATGCCTTGTAGTTTGTGTAAATTCTAGGCCCCAGTCAGGCAATGTATGTGTGTGTGTATATATATATATATATATACAGGCGACCAAGTTAATGCAAGTACAGTTAGTGAGAGTAAAAGTGAAGTTAAACTGGGTAATTTCTAAAGTGAGTTTCACAACTTGTATTGTAATAACAGAGACAGAGGAGAATAATTTGTCTTCTTAAAGTGTTTTAAAGTAATTTAACCAGCCTGTCTGCACTTTGTCGAAAAGGAGACAATTATTTAAAGCTTTGGATACAACTGTAATAACCAAGAGTTATACTGGTGGTTTTACAGTGAGTGTCACAGCCTTGTATTGTAACAACAGAGTAGAGGAGAATAATTTGTCTTGTCAAAATTACCACTTCTGCCGTGAAATGGATTAGTTCAAATTTCATTTGCTAATTTGCAATTGTAAGGTTGTTTGCAACAGTGCATTTAATTTGGTTCTAAAAGCATTGTCTATATTGTGGAAATAAATCCAGTTTGCTGTTATGTGCACAAAAATTGTTTTTTTTTTATAGTGAACTATTCTGTTGATTCATAATGTTAATCATGTAGAAGTTTAATTGTGACAGTGATTATTAAGGAAAGTGTTTGTTTGACTCAGATCAAAAACAGTTATAGGTCCTAAATGTAAAGGAAAGACAATATCAGGTTATTTTGCCCATCCCAATGAAAAAGTTCCACAAAGGTTTGTTTAAAGAGGACTGTGTCATTAAGTGTTTTACACTTGATTTTTTTTTTCATTGAGTATTGGTGATTGATATAGTTACTTAAAATATCAAAGCAAAAATCTTATACTCGAGGTGTATGATTTTGACATTTTTGCAGGTCTATTTTTAAGTTAAATTCAGCATTACGTCCTGGAGGAAAGTCAATGACTTTCAAATGATTAGTGCTCTGAGATTTAATTGTAAGCTGTAGCCTATAATACTCATTACTAGCCTTCATTTCAGAATTAGCACTGTAATTAATTAATTAGATATTTAAAGTTGTCAACAAAATAGAAAATTGCATATATTGTAAGTCAATATATTTGCATTCCAAAGACAAGTTGAAATTTCAACAAAATGAAAGTAACAGTCTTGAGTTTTAAAAGAATATTTGCAATTAAGCCTCAGTTTTTGCATTTTCTTATTATCAGAATGGCAAAGATTTTTATAGATTTGTTGAAACTAATAGTTTTTAAATTTTATATTTTCATTTTCAACATAAAGAAAAGTCATAATTTCAGCAGTAGTTAACTTTTCCGTTTGTAACTTTACTTTCTTCTGCTGTTATCTATCTGCTATTGTCTGTCTGATGCTACTCGCTTGTCTCATGCTATTTATATCTATCACCTAATCGTCTGTCTGCCTTCTATATTCTCGATGTCAATGTATTGCATGCGACGTTCAATAGTCTCAACGTCAATGAAGTATTAACAAAATCTCGTACAATCATCTGCTTTTAACTGTTATTATAACAAAAACTGAACAATAATAAAATATTCACTCACAAAAACAAATCAGTCAATAACATCTAAATTAAACAGTCTTATAAATCGTGACAGTATGGATTATGTGGACATTTTCTTCAATGTGAAAAGCTATAGCAGGGATGGATCCAGGATTTTGAGCAGGAGGGGTCCAAATGGAAAATTTAAGTATTTATATAGATTATATTTCATGTAAAACAAAGTTTTGTAAGTTGAAATATTTATCAGTAATAACAAATGAACGAAAAGGCTATTTGATTGTTTACTCCCTTCAAAGTCGAAACTGCAACACAGCCGTCATTGATATCTATTTCATCAAGAGATAAAATCTACTCTTTGTACCATCGGGTTTGCATGCGAAGAGCACACAAGTTAAGTAGTATCCACCATTCTTCTCCTTGGAGTACACAAGCCATGAAAATTGATCAAGCCAGTACAATTTAAATTTCAGATTTATGCACTTGTGTTGTCACACAGGGAAGGTGAACTTGTTATCAGGGTGAAAATGTTTCTTCATCAACTACATCTTTTCATCATCAGTTAGTGTCGATCTATCAAACAATCCCAAGTCATTGTACTCTCTATTCGGATCCAGATTTTCTGTCATTTTTGATGTGCTTGGTGAAGGCATGGCAGTTGCTGGGTCTTCTGTTGCCTGTAGGGTGGTTGTGTCAGCTTCCAGAGTGGGATTTTCTGCTAGTTGATGGAAATTATCCTCAAAACTCGGTCTTGATTTCTTGATAAAAAAAAAAATTTATTGCCGCCTGTGAAGCTTTTCTTTTCTCCATAGTTTGGTGCCTAAAAAATGGCAGATATATTTTTAGATATTGAAGGAAAAATCGCTAATATATAAGTGATCTGCCATTTTTTACTTACAGTTGTAGCTTTGTTAGCACTGGAGTTTACTAAAAAGTAAAGTGAAAAAAATTATAAGTAAAGTAAAAAAAAAAGTAAGTAAAAGAATAAGATGGAAGACATCTTACTTATATTAGTTAAAAAACAAATAAAAAATTTTATTTCTAAGGTTAATTTATGATTACTTGGGTTTTTTTTTAGTTTTTTATTTATACATATTTTTTATCTAGATATTAAAAAAATAATTATGCTTTGCTCAAGCAGGGGGGGTCCAGATCCCCCTGGATCCATGCCTGGCTAGCTAATCTGTTTGTAGCACAGTTCTTAGTATGTACTTGGTGTTCTTTGAACCTCACCTGTAAGGGGCATTGTGTTTTCTCAATGTATTGTTTATTACACTCGCGCCAAGAGCTATGAACCACTTTCTTTGTGAGAAGATTGCATGGATGCCACTTATCAAAAACACAAAACATGTTATTTGTTGAGGTTTTTATGAAAAATTCCTTTATTCTTATTTCTCTGTATAATACCTATAACTATGTTCCTTATGTTTATTATATTGAAGCAATCAATTTATTTTCTATATTTATCATAATTCTATATGTTTAATAACTTTAATACCAGATGTCAGTTATTGTTATGATTGTTGCCTAAATACCTATTTTAAAGCAGTGTTCCACACTTAAATGAATTTTTATCTCTCTCTGCATTGTTGCCCAATGAAGGCTCTGGTAATAGGGCTGAAAGCTCTCAAATAAAAGTATTCTAATGTGAAGAAATGTCTGTGTATAATTCTAAATATTATTGTGTGTTTTCTATGGCCCCTTGACACTTCAGTATGGCCCCAACTTTGGGAACCCCTGCTTTATACTACTCTTATATTAAGTAGTCTTGAATGACCATTAGCAAAGGATTTCAACAATTAAGGTGATCCTTAATGAAATTTGTCATATCTTATCTGATATGTAAGTGAATTTGAGTACAAATGTATTACATTAAAGTTATATTTAATTTTCCAATTCTATATTTACATTGTCATGACAACATTGAAATTATTGAAACTGCATTAATTTGCAGTGAAAAATAGTAATTCATTGTTAAATTATATTTTTGACAGGTATGGTTGAAGACTTTCCGGGCTGTTATGGAAAATGTTGGAGGTGGCCTTGGAATTGTGCTGGTATTGTCAAGTTATCGCTGCCAGTTTAAACACAATATTCTTGTGTGAGCAAAAACAATTTTTCAAGTACATGTTTGTTTCATTGTTTTAAGTCTTTTTCCACATGAGTTAGCTTTATGTGACTGACCTTGTGACCACAAAGTAACCATTAGAGCCTCCATGCCATTACTTTTACCATGTTTTTGTATTTTCACGAAATTTGGCAAGCTTTCAGTAAACATAAGTATATTGTACATAGAAAATCAGATATTTGAATTATGTAATTTTACAAAAGATTTGTTCATGAATATATGGAGTCATAATGTTGACTGCTGCAAATGCAAAGAGATTTCTATATTAATATTAAAAATACTTTTCTTCATCTGAAAATCTTCATATTTCACTTGCAAAACCTCTTAAATAAATATCAAACATTCTTGTCAGTAAAACTATATTTTATCTTTTATTTTAGTTATAACTATATACAGACTGTCAATTTGATCAACCTTTTAACCACTATAAAAATATGAATTAAATCTAAATTGCCCTTTTTTTCTTTATATAATGTTTGCAGATTGTAACAGAAAAGTACAGTTGTTTATCCTAAATAGCTTTAAGGCTCCTAACAGTCTACATCTCTTTCTACTTAATTTTATTGTTTTATTGCCATTTGAACTGTGTTTTGTCTAACTACTAATCGCACCATACAAGTTGTAAATCACTTGGTGAACATGTAGCTCATATTACTGTATTAAGTTTCTAATTTTTACATTCTGGTTATTCTGTAACAATAAATAAAAAATATACATGGAAATAAGAAATATAATACTTACCTCTGACCTCTTGTTTTTTGCTGTCAGTTGATAATTAAATTTAAGCTTATTTAGATAATACACTTAGGACACATTAACATGCACAAAGCAAACAAATGTCTTATAACTATTATAATTTAACTAAGTCAAAAGGGACTTAAAATAGTTTCTGTAGCTGCTAAACCTGAACACTATGAGAGAAACTTTCAAACTGAAGACAAAATTGACAGTGTAGTGAAAACATTTTAGCATTATTTGTTATTCAATAGATTAAAGCCTTTCTTTTCTTTTGGTTATAAATGATATAAAACACCAGAGAGTAGTATTTGAAATTTGTGACAGGTGGGCATGGCAAGTGGGTCTGACTTTGTTGTTTAAGACTCCAGAAACAAATAAGATTGAAGGCTATAAAAATTAGACTTTATCTTAGTAATACCTATATTATAATGAGTAATTTTCACTAAATTCCATATTTCAGAAGGGGGAAGACCTAGAGAACAAATTTCACAATTCCCATTGTGGATTTATTTAAATATTTATTAATACAATTAAGATCCTAAAACTTATATTACAAATTGATTTACTAACTATGCTTTGATGTTAAGTATATTTGCATAAATTGATAATAATTTTGAATGTAACTAACTTTTAACCTATGCATAGTGAGAGGGTCACGTTTTATCCATTTTTGGCACATGTTTCAAGTGTTCTTTTTATTAATATTATTTCAGTAGTGCTTTTTAGAAAATAAACACTGAAATTTGTTAAGCTTAAAAACTGGATTTTCTGCATATCAAACTGGTCTGGAAATAGTTTGATAAAATTGTATGTACACATACCCATATAAAGCTTTTATTTTTCACAGTCAAGAGAAACTACATGTTAAAATGAGTTAAATAATGACAGCAACAGTAAGATGGTTGAAATTGTTGCTGTAATGAAAAGAGTATTTCATGTTAATGATATAGATAGCCTTATTTATTTATTTAAAAACATTTATTTATGTAATTCCAACAGTATAAAGCTCCTATTTGTTCTGAAAAAAAAAGCTAAAAATTTAATCGTACATTAACTTGAAATTGTATTTGTCACAATGTTAAAATGTGTTACATTGACAGAAAACATCTAATGGAATTTAAGAGTGGACAGTTGAAAATGAAAGTGTCAATATGTGGGATAACAAATCATTTACAAAGTAAAATTTTCTTATACACTTAAGAACTGAATCTATAAATTATCCCATCCAAACTTCCATTACTTTGAAAGAATGAACTAGAATCTAATTATGTAAAAAATTTTAAGATTAAAGTAATATATTTAGTATTGCTTAATTTACGATACAATATCTTGCCTCCTCTTGCCACTAGTCGTATAACTCTCACTTCTTTCTGCACATCTACATGCAAATGACCATGCAGCAACCTTCCACCAATAGGAGTATGCACTACCCCTATCATAACTAGCACTGTCTCTAATAACGCACCTGTTAATCACTTCTTGATTGGCAATTACTGTGCAAACGTCTTTGTTTTAACTCGTGATTTGGTTACAATATCCACTCATTTTTACATTCAAGTATTTTCTAATTTAGTTAATGTTGTTTTCCCTTTTTTTGTGAGAGTCATGATTTAAATTTCATTATCTACTCTTCTTTTTCTAATTTTTGTTCGTGTTTTTGCCTTTGTGAATTTTGCACTCGGTTTCGGGTGGTCATGACTACCACTGCTGGGTTGATAATGCAGTTGTTGGTTGCGAGCATGTCGACTATGATCCGTAGGAAATTGTACCATTTCTGGCAACATACTGTAAGACCTGATGAGTAGCTTGTTATACTAGTGCCTGGGTGTTTCTGAATGTATGAATGTGAATAAGGGCAGTTTGTTTTACCCCAACTGAATATGTTTTTCGGCACATGTAATTTTTGAGAGTCTTACCTAGGCCTCCTTCTCTCTCTTTGTGGCCATGATTACTCAGCTGTGTTATTTTTTGTCTTTGTCTCCTTAGATTTTACTCATGCTCTCATAGGGAATTAATCTTTGGGTCATTCTTTGATTTTTTTTCTTTTTACCTGGATATTGGGGTGCATTTGCAATCAGGGGGCAGTATGCCCTGTCCCTGAAGTAGTTGGCCTATTATGCTTTTCTCATTCTCGCTACCATAATTCAACTCACATCTTTTGAATGTTTTTTCTTCCTGTGCGGGGTCAGACCATAATACTTCCTTTTATTTTTTTCTTCTCTACATCAGAACTTTCCCATTCTCTTCTTTTGTTATCTGTCCATTATCCTCCCTTCACTTTGTGGTTGGGGTGGTTTTACAGTTTCATTATTTGTTTTTTGTTGGTCATAGTAGTCTTCTTTTTTGTTACCATGGCCTCTCTTTACAGATGTGGTTGCTCTGATGTTGGATTCTCCTAGGCCAGAATCCTGTTTTTTTAAGGTTCATTTTTGTCACTATTTTTGTTTTTAAAATATGTAGTAGTCTCATACTAAATTAAATAAATTGATAAATAATGAAAACATGTTTTATTGTCAACAATGTGGGTAATAATTGCAATTAGAAATAATTAGGTAATCATTTAACCAGTTTGGGGGGGGGGAGGCTTTTGATTTAATTGTCTTGGATTTGATTCCCATTGCCACTAAGCTTGCTTGTTTTGTGTTTGTTATTGTAAAGCTACATCAGGCTATCTGCCACTATCACTAATTTTGAACTGCTGAGTAGAGAGAAGTCAGTTGGCTGGCACACACACACTTCAAATGACAGTTTTTGAGGTTTTAAGTGTTGTATCTATAATTACACATTTGCTGAAATACTGTAACCAACCAAGGAAATGAATAATCATAACTGATTTTATTTATTAAGCAAACAAGTACTTTGTTTGGAAACCATTAGGGAATGAATAAGAATAGAAAGAGAAAGTTTATTCAGATAATATAGTATTATTGTATTAAGAAGTAACAATAGTGTTTAACCTCACACTAGCTGCAGTTATGTTTCATTTTTACAGTGAAAAAGTATGACAACAGCTAACTTTTTTAAAATAAAGCTGTGAACATTTAGAAAAGAAAACGTTTTCAGTATCTTTTATATGAAAGAAGGTATTATATTTTTTTGATTAAACAAAGTTGACCATTTAGTCCTAAATAAGTCAAAGCTGGGATAATTTTAATGTACTCTGTAAATTATTAGCTCAGTCAGATTATTATCCAGCAATTTCACAGTTTATATCTTTATTTATTTATTTGAACCCTCTCTCTCAAACGGCATGTCATCACATTGTAGACTTACATTCAAAATTTTATTGATCTACTATTTTATGAATGTATGCCAATAAGTTTGGTATCACATTGTAGATTATAATTGAAACTTAAAACTAAATATTAAAGCAAAATTCCCATATATCAATTTGTATATGTCGTGTGGTATGTTTAATACAGCTTTTGTTCAAATTATATGTTTGTGATGTACAAATACAGTCCATAGTTTCTTATAAATTAGAAACTTAAATTACTGATATTGACAAGTTAGAATATAAAATAAGAACTTCCTATCTTTTCTGTTTGCTGAGATATCACTACATTGAGTAAATCAAACACAGTGGCTCTGCCTCCCTCTTTTCATTTTTGGAAATACTTGCTTACATACATCTATTTCTGTCTATGACATGTGAACAGTCAATCAAAAGCTGAATGTCCCAGTGGTGGTTTTCTCAGTCTCTAGAAGATGGGAAGTTCCCAAGATTATTTTTTTGTCTTGAATCACTAGAGGAAGTAAAAATGTTGTCCGAAAAACATTTTTTTTTACTCAAACACAGATTAGTTGGTAAGCCTGATGAATTATAGTGGGATTCTGCAATATTGATAGAGTAATTTATAATATTTGGTTATTTCTAAATGTATATATAAAACCTAAAATAATTATTTTGTTTTATATCCTCAATGTGCAAAACTTAACAAGGCTTAGCAAAGTACGGCAAGTGGGCAAACGAGTACAAAGTTTGTAAGTAGAAAAAATCATTGTTTTCTATATTTCTTTATGTACTGTTGTATGTTTTAAGAAAAAATATCTGAAACTTAAAAGGTTATTTGTAAATAGTAATAATATATATAAATATGTGCATATTTAATGTATTATAACCAAAATTTGAATGTATTTTACAAAATACTGGTTCACTAGAACAAACCAAAGACAAGTCACTTTGTAAATGCTAATGTTTTTACTACTGGACACGGTAACATGACTACATGTGC